CCTCACTTCCCCCTTCCCATACACACAAGCACACTATTGAGTTGAATATAGAGGCTGACTGGAAATTTAAATCGATAAAAACGTAGCTGGAATCTAGGTTAAATGTAATTAATCTCTCGGATCAAAAGCATCTAGAGAAATGTGTTTTTCTTTCTCTTTTTTCACGCCTCAAGCCTTACATCATTTTAGGGAAAAACAGTACAAGTTGATTTCGCTGTAGCTTGTTATGGTTTCTGGGCTATATGCCTCTTGCCGAAGCCAGTCTACTTACCAGTGAATTGAATTGTTCGTCCAAATCTTGTGGCCAAAGGAAGCCGTACGACTCTTTTTGCAAAATAATTACTCCTATCCAGATGTCGTGTGCACTCGAATTCCTGGCCATGTTGTTTTTCGCTCTCTTCAACAACAGCTTGATACGCTTCTAAGTCTTCTTTATTCGTGTTGCGTTGTGTCTTGTCGATTGGAGGAGCAGTTAGCCCAAGTTTGGTCAAGATTTGTCCACGTACAGCTAAAAGCCTGCTTTCTTTTAACCTTCCGAGCCTTGTTTTTCCATTCACGAGGACCACATGTGTTGCGAGACTAATGGCCATCAATATCCAGCAAAAGTATCGTGAGAGTGAACGTTGTTGAAACATCGGTGCTTCCAGTTACAACTTACACTTACTTTCTTTAAATTTTAAAACCAAATCGATCTAAACTTGGCATTGTACATCGTAGTCAACAGATCAAACCTGATATTATGATCTGCCTTGAATTCAAAATCTTCGTGTGCATTGTATATCTAAATTGTCGTAGATGTATTTGGACAAGTCATTAGCATTTTGAATCGGTGGTTCAGACAATAAAGCTATTCGCAGATATATTCTTTTGTTCATAGTTGAATGAGAGTATTCTCATGAGGTCAGCTCGTTAGTGAAGGGTAAATGAATAAGCACAACAAAGCGAGCGGGTGTTACTGAGGCGACCCGGGATTGAAGCTGCCTACAAAAGTTAATAAAAAAAGTTTACTAGATGGAGTAATTTAGTTTAGTTTTAACCTAGACTTTCATAAGGGAATCTAACTATTTAAAACGTTAAATATGCGTCAAAAGAAGTTTGTTTTGATTCCGATTAAAAACACGCCTTCCTTAGCAAGAAACTATTGCTACTATATTACTTCTGTCCATCAAATATGGCGGTAAAAGAACACGTGATTTGCCAAA